TTTTATTTAATAATAGTTGAAAACATTTTGAATTATGAAGTAAAGAAATTTGTACATAATTGTTACGAATGCAATTGTATATGGTAAACTACAAAATTTGAACAAAATTGGTCTAATAGTTTTTGAGAAGTCTAATTTTAAACATACGACGTTAAGTAATTAGATGGTGATTGAGTTCTTATATGTGAATATCCGATTATTAAATAAAAAGTTATTCTGGTTTTTATTTTTTTCCTTTTTTTGTGCACTGCACATACAATTTTGGAAATTTTTCATTCAGTAAGCCAAATAACAGAATCCATTAAGCTATACAATTTATGCAATTTATTTAGCTATACAAATTATTATTATTGTGATAATAATAATAAATTACATACAATCCTGATTACAAAGTAATAAAGCTCATTTGAAATTATTTTTTGAGAATTATTATTTGAAATTATTATATGAGAATTATGATTTCTCGAAGTCTTACTTTTCATGAAAATATAATATTTGCAATTTGTTCTGGTTGTTCAAAAGTTTAATCGGAAAATTTAGTCAAAACTGATGTAATTATTATGCAATAATTTGCATAAATTTGCATAAGGAATGATGACTAAAATCATATTTGAATAATCATTAAAGTTGAAACTTGACTAAATTTAGCCAAAACTAAAATTTTCTCTAATGATGCCCATCTCAGGAATGAAACTACTTTGATACCAGATAATTGATATTCTAATTATATAATTAATCAATGAAAATAATTGAAAATACTTATGCGTCGTCTTTATCAAAATAAAAATAAAAAACCTATTCCGCGTTGTAATTCAATTTGCACCTAAAAATATAAAGAAGCGTTTACTAACGAAGAGCAGTAATTAAATTATTTTAGTTTACGATAAATTGGGAATTAAAAGTTTTGAAATATTATAAGCGTGCAGTACTTAAACAAACAAACAAAAAATTAAACATCCGATAAAATTTGATTACTAGCAATTAAAATTTCAAATTATATTTTTAAATTATTCAACTCATATTTGTCTTCAAATTAAGTTAAAGGTACAGTCCGTGAAATAAGAACAGACCAAGCTGAATAACTTATGAACCAATAATCGGATCTTCACGTTCTAGGATTCCATCATAATGGTTTGTGGGAGTGACCTCAAATATGCTAATTAATTGGTGCAGACGATATTTTAAGTCACGAAATCAGACTCAAGCAATTTATTTTTTGCATTTTTCAGTCATTTACTTTTTGTATGGAATTATCTTTGGATAAGCAAATTTTATAATTGAGTGTAAAGATTTTTCAATTCGCTTTAAATGCTTTCGAGATATGGAGAAATTTATGCACACAAAAAAAATTAACATTATTCAACATTATAATCAACTTTTATCCAGGGTGGTCCGGTTTTTTTTCTTTTTTTTTTGTGCAGACATCAGAAAGCTTTAACTGTGGAATAGTTACTTTATTTAAATCACCACTATCATTATTATAAATAATATTAATATTCCTTTTCCATGTTACACGCATTTATTAAGTCATAAAATAAATTAAATCTTCCCTACAAATCCCCTAGTTTTTTTCCATGTCCTCGTCTACAAATAAAGTCTGCAACTTCTAACAACTCGTGAAACTTTATATTTAAATACTTTTCAATGTTCATTTAGTTCATCAACCTATCAAGATTCGTTATTTTTGCTTTTAAGGCTACTTTTTGCCTATTTAAAGCTACTAAACAACCAATAAAGACAGTAGTTTTAAACTTAACAAAAACTTTTGTTTAACTAAAAATAAGAAAAACCCCGTAACAGTGTTTGATAAAAAACAAACTTAAAACTGAAACTTTTCAGTTGGCGCGTGTCAGAATCACACCAAGCAATAGGCAGCATTGGTGTTAACAAACAAGAAAAGCGCTGATGATCTTTTTATTCGAACGCAGCTCTACATGTGTGTTTAATAAAATGGACACAATTCAAAATGCTGTTTAAGAAATGGACATGCGCGTTTAAAAAAATAAACACAACTCGGAGCCCGTGTTTTAAGAGAATGAACGCAGCTCAAAATACGCGTTTAAGAAAGTGGACACACCTTAAAATGAATTTATGAAAAGAAATGGACACAGAGAAAAATGATTCTTTTTAATGTTCAACCCAAATTTAATAACTAAACGAGGAATTGCGTGCTTACTTTTCCTTATCTATTTTAAACACTAAAACCATAATCATAATCATTATAACCATAATCACTAGCCATATAACAGTTGGGTATTTTAGGTGATCTCCTTGGATTCAGAACACTAAATGATGAAATGGACTTTAAAAATATAAATTCTTGCAATGAAAATTTTAATAGAAGCATTATAAATTTATTGGTTCCGTAATGACCTTGTAAAAATTTTTTGAGATACTTAGTGTTTTTTTTTCTTTTTTTTTTTAATGAAAAAAAAATTAAAAAATGAACGAGGTGATTTAGGAAAACAGACGAGATCACATTACAAATTTATTTGCATTCGTCAGTTTATTCTTTAGAAAACGAACAATATTCAAAAGGGAGGTTTGAAAAACTAAATCAAACGCTACGTACATTTTCTTAAACACGCTTTCTTATCCGTGTCCATTTTTATAAGCGCACATTTTTAACTGTGTTCATTTTCTTAGACACATAATTTGAGTTGCTTCCAGTTTTAAAAAGCTCATCAACAAGAAATATGTTTGTTAGCTTTTAAATCAAATCGGTGATTACGTGAAAACCTTAAAAGAAGGTTTTCGCATAATAGTTTCGCAGGGCTTGAGAAAACAGTAAAAAAAATTAGATATAATGTTCGTTTATTTGCTTTCCCTTGAATAAGGATTTTTTTTGCGGAAAAGGAATTATTTGCATTATTCCGTTTCCTTAGAAAAAGCTTTTTGCTCTGCATTTCTGTTTACCTTATCACGTCAACTACGATAAATGTACTAAAACAAGGTTTACCATTCGCTTTTTTAAACCTAAGTGGCAAGATCATTTTAAAAAAAGCTGTAAAAATCTTCTTTTTTTTTCCTTTTTAGATGAAAGGTTTGAAATTGCAATATTCTTGCTTTATTGAAAAAAGGTTTTAAGTGCAAACATTTTCATGACAATAACAAGAAAATTCCCACACACGGTTGCCGTAAGATTACACGCTTTCTAGGATAGATCCAAGATTCATCACATATTGATAAAATGCTTTAATCTTCTGGCTACGTAATTTCTGTTAATAAAATAAGTTCAAAAGTTGCAACTTTTTTATTACATATTTCAAATCTACATATATTGTAGAAATGAAATATACAAAGCGTTTTTGTAGAAAAGTATTTTTAATATAGAATTAGAACATAAAAATAAAATTAAAAAAGTGGTTTATTTAAAATTTGATTTCTAAGAATTATTCAACTGCTTTTGCTCAAATTTTCTATTTTGCCACGTACAGTTAGATTCTTTTAAATTTCATAAAAATTTATATAGCTTACAATTCAAAACTTTTACGACTGTTATTAAATAAAATAATAAAAAATAGTAAATATTTACTAAAATCTATTTTTGTATGGAATTATCTTTGGACAAACAAATTTTATAATTATATACAAAGATTTTTCAATTCGCTTTAAAAGTTTTCGAGATATGAAGAAAAAAAAACTCAATTTAGCTGGTCCAAACTTCGGATCGCTCTCCTGGCTGAACTATGGGGACCATATTTCCCAGATTCCGGCTGTACTTTGGGGGCCAAAAATCCAAAGTCGTCGAGAAAAGGGTATATTTATTTAGAGAAAGTACGTTTTTGTGCCTGATTTTGTAACTTAAAATATCGTCTGCACTAATTAATTAGCATATTTGAGGTCACCTCTTTGAGCCATTAAGATGGAGTGCTAGAACGTAAAGATCCGATCATTAGATCAAAAGTTATTTAGAGTGGTCCGTTTTTTCTTCTTTTTTTCTATTGCTTGTGCACTGTACGTACTTTATTTCTTGAGAAAATAAAATAGCATTAAGCACTTAATAAAATCTCAAATATTTTATAATTTCCTAATATTGCTTTAGTTAAATATTCGCTATATGAGAAGGGAATAAAAAGTTGAATGTTAAAAAAATTTATGAAAATATTTCAAATACCAAACTGACTCATATAAGCATGAATACTTCTTAACTATTACTCAAGTTCCAATTTTTTATTCAACGCTATTTTTAACATGGATGTAAATTGAGTTTTCCAGCAAAGTTCATCTCCTTAAATAGTGACTTTATTTCAAAAGTAGTTTGTGATAACTACATTTTCTTCAACAAAAAAAGTAGTAGTAGTTAACTACATTAAAGTTGTTGTTGTTTACCAAAAAAATTTTGATTTTTCAAAGCATCTCCTTGTATCTTAATTCTTATATTAATTTTCTTGAAAGTTTGACATTATAGCTTAATGGATTTATAAGGTTTGATTTGTGGGATATAATGTGATGATAAAAAAAATCAGAAGTGTTTCTTCCTATTTTGCTCAAACACAACTAAAATTTTAAATTTTCAATCCACTGATTCTTGCGTCGATAAATATTCCGATTAGGCGTCTATAAGACAAAATTTGAAGAGTTTTCTTTTAACATTTGAGAAATGAGGGATAATTTTTGTATTTTTTCATTGTTACATATTTTTTACAGGATTTATCAATGAAAATTGCTTTAAATGGTCATTCATTTTAAAATAAAGCTAAGAAGTTCGCAAAATTTTCAAAAAAAATTCATATGAGTTAGAAAAAAAAAATCTTTAAATTCTATTTTAAAGATCCCGTTTTCCCTTTAAAAAAAAAGGACCAAAAAACAAGAATAGAAAGAAAAAATTCTTGAGATAATTATCACTAATTGTCAGCCTAAAATAAATGTTTGAAGCGATTTGAATGAGTGTTTCTTTCCATCAATACGTAAAGGGATGAAAAATTGATCCCTCCAAAATCTCCCTGGCGAGCGCTGCTGTTCCTATTTAAGAGAACTACCCATCAACCTTTGTTGCATTCCGTTTCCTTCACTCCATCTACGAAATAGGTAAGAAAACCTTCTCTTTCAAAAAGACTTTTTTAAATTTTTCTACGATGAAAATATCTTTTTTTTTAAAATAAAAATAAGTAGATAATTAAAATTTTCCCTATTCCGGATTTGCTTTCTAATATTTCATCAAATACATATAGTCACGTGTGCATAACATGTGCACATCATAGACATTCGCAAGGGAGGGAAGAGGGTGCTTTAGACACGCATTAAAATTTAACAAATTGAAAAATATATTTTGCTATTAAGAGAAGAAAAACTATCTTTACATGTTTTTATTTGCCATAAGATACTATAATTTTTTTAACTTGTAAATACATATATATTTCATTAATCTTCTCTATATTGTATTTGGGTGATTCTCACGAAACATGACAATTTGGACCAAAAAATTTCTTCAAATTTAAAGTCTTCAAAATAATCTAAATTTTTTTTTGTATACTTCTTTAGCTACACTTATTAATATCTTATAGACAGCAGTGTAGTTTATTGACATTTGCTCGAGAAAAAAAATAAAATAGAAATTCCACCAAATCTAGAATGCCTGGAAAATGACATATTACCTTAGAAGTTAAAAAAACAGTCATTTTAAGTTATTAGTAAGTAACTCAACTTAAGCCTATATGTTAGATGGACCATAAATTGCTTAAATTATTTCTTTTTATCCACTGTAGAAAGAAACAAAAGCTTTTTTGTTGCTGATATGTACAGAATAAAATTGTGTATAATAATCAATCATTAAATAAATAAATAACTTTGATTACATCCAAGCATATTACAATCACACATAAACTTGGTATTAGGTTAATATTTGCTTTCTCTCTTTAGCAGTTAAAAAGAATTTCTGGTAACACTTCAATGTCCTGGCATTCATAAGCCAGGAAAATGACAGCCAGGATAATGACAAATTCGCCATTTTATAGCATATAACTTTACTTTAATTTAATATTTTGGCCGAAAACGTTTATATTCTGCAGAAAACAAAAGTATTTCCTAAAATAACTCAGATAAATCTATGTAGTTTTTGTTATTAATGATTTCAAGAAGTCAGGAAAATGACAGCAAAAAAACCTACTCACCTTGAAAAAATTTTTGAAATAGATTTTGAGCCAGAAAATTGGTTCTTTATTCATGCAACAAGACATGTTCAGATAGGAGGGTATCTAATTAATCTATTAACATAAGATATTGATTCCTGGCGCTATCTATTTTGGTTGTAAGTCACTAAATAAAAGTAGCCATGAAAATGACAGATTTTCATGGGACAAACAAATTATTGCCAGAAAAAATTTTTTTGAGCGAAGTTTTAGTAAACAATACCCTCTGTGAATATTCTAGAAATGCTTACATAGGATAAGATAAAAAAATTAGATTTTGAAAAATGTATGGAAGGCTTTGAAGCTACTTATTATTGGAAATATTGTTTGGGACATGCCAGGAAAATGACATTTTGATATTCAATTAAATTTTTTAAGTATACAAAACAGTCAATGCTAGTGCAAAGTCATTTTAAAATGATAACAGCAATGCTATTTATTAATTTTTTTAAAAAAAGGTTCTTTTAGTATTATTATTATATCTTGGAGCAAGGGACAGTGAATTGTCATGTTTCGTGAGAATCACCCATTTAGAAAAAGTACACAATTATGTAATCCAACAAAAGTTAAATTTAATTTCAAATGGTTAAATACTTATTGAATCTAGAATTGTTTAATAATGATATATCCGTTGGTACGCACTAAAGGTTTTTACACAGAAGTTGAATTTGTACACTGAGAAAAAAATTCTGGTAAAAAAAGAAAAAAAAACATATTTGTATGGTAATAACATTTCTGGTTTAAAAAGAAAATGAAAGACAATTCTGATAATTAATACCAAAATTTACATTGTTTAAATCATTTGTTATATAATTTTAGTGTTCGTTATGTTATTGTTTTATCGAAAATGCTGATTTTGAAAATTATAGATCGCATCACCCACACATTAAGTAAAAATCCAATACCGAAAGGAAAATTTAACAGAAAAAAAAATTGTTTTTCACGCCAGACTGTAAAAAATCACGATAAAATAACCAGACTGTTCTTCGAAACGTATTACTCATTTTACCTTTTGTATGGTAATTTTAAGATTCTGATGGCATTGCTTTTTTCTAAATAGAATGGTTATAGATTTTATTAATCTGTTCACTCTGTGGTTAATTTAAAATGTTGGTTTGTTTCAATGGTTGACAGGAATTAGATGGTGTTTAATTCTTTCTTTTCCTAATATATTTCTCAAATATAACAGAGAATAAAGGAGCATGAAACGTGCGTGCAATCATGTTTAATGAAAGTGCTTTAAAAACACTATTAACTCGGGAAGTACAAGCTGTTGTGTCTGTTTTGGGATTTTTTTTCTTTCTTGAGGGTAGAAAGATTTATTTACTAATTCACATAAAATGTGCGTATTTGCGTGCTCAATTTAAGGAACTTTTTGTAAACCCATATCAAATTTGAGAAACAGCACAAGTTTGAGAAAGACAGCACGAATTAACAATTAAGGTTACAGTATTATTCGATCTCTCTATCTGCACGCTTCAGAGTGTTAAGTGGAGCGCGAATACCATTCTGTTAGAGAGACCATTGGTATTTATTGCAAGTACAGCAACTAAGTATTAAACATTAAACATGATAGAGTGGCATTTCCCTTCCGCTAGTTGCTCTGAAACAGAGTTAGTGGGTTTAAATTCCGCGGAAACATAGATTGTATCTTGGTGGTATCTTTCTCAAATTTGTATTATCTGTTCTAAAATTTGAAAAGGGTTTACAAGACATTCTTCGTATTGAGCACAAAAGCCTGTATATATGTATGTAAAAAATTATTTATTTATTGTCATCCATGCATAATCTTGGTGTCACGCATACACATTTGTTTTCTCGCATAAGTTTGTGTGATCCTTTTAAAGTATGTCTTATAAGCTTCAATCAAGTTAAAGAACATATAACAAAAGTTGAAAAAGGACATTAGAAAGATACATGTACTGTAGAGTGACGGTTGCGGGTTCAAAACCAATCGTAACCCTGGATATATCTTTGTGATATCCTTCTCTATCTTGTGTTATTTGTTCTTCATCTTAACAAAGGCTTATAAATTGAACTTTGAAATGAGCACACAAGCCTGCATATATATGTGCAACAATAACTAAATAAGTATAAATAAATAGATTCATACATGGTTTCTGTATGATTCGCATCGAATGCTTAAACACTTTCAGTTTCAGGAAGATGGCCAACTTGATACGTAACAATTAAGTCGCTGATTTAGTTAAATCTTGTTCAGCAGGCATTTGTATATTTGCAAATAAGCATTTTTTATATGTTTCAAAGGTTTATAGACGTTACTTTATAACTTAGATGAAAATGAAAAAGAGCTACTCAACCAGACACGAAGTTAACCCTGATTTTCTAAATAAATTAGTCAAATTCACCATATTTGTGTTATCTGAAACTATAAGAAAATTTTGGTAGAATTACCTTTCAGATAATAATTTTACTACAATTTACTACAAAAAAAAACCATGATATTAAAGCCATATTTTATTTGTGGTATAATCAATAGTCATTACCAAAGCTGTTTTGGTGTTCCCATAGAGCCAGAAAAAACGGTTAATTTTACCATATTTTGGTAATTTTGACCATACTTTTTTCCTCAGAGTACGATATCGAAAATATTGAAATGTTTTTCTAGCAAAAATAATCCATTTCCTCATATTAAAATTAAACGAGAAAGTTTCACTTCTTCTAATTTTTTTCTATATAATTGCAAATGATATGTGTCTAATTAAATCTACTTCGACTCGTAATTGTATTTTTAAATCTTTTTCTAAACACAATTTTTCAAAACACATTACAAACACATTTTCTAAACACTCTTTGCAGATAAAACACAAAAACTGTAGAACGCATGTACTCATTAAGTATTCTTTTGCGCTCATATAATATTCAATTTAAATTAAGTATCAATTTTATTAAACTTGCTCATTTTCAGAAATGCCAAATTTCTAAATTGTCTGTCATAAATTTTTAGTTGAGTAATTATTTAGGAAAACTTCTAAGATACATAAGTGAAAATATTTTTCAGCAATACAAAAGAAATATTATTCATAGATTTTAAAATAGTTTAATGATAAAAATTTTGTGAATTCTTATGGCGCATTGTTTAGTTTCATAAACATAACTCTTTTACGATCAAATATAAGAATTTAGATATGATAAAATCTATAGCTTAAATTATTTTCAAGGAAAAACAAGATTTTTTTAACTCATTAATGATTGCATTTTTATATTGTGATTTAAAGAGTGCATTTAGTAGTTGAAACAAAGTGGATATTTTTTTGTGACCCATTGAAAAAGTACTAAAACCTGAAAGATCTCAGTAAAATGAAGCAATAAGCTTGTAACTTGCATCGATTACTTTGTTATTTGCAATGACTACATAATATTTCATTAATCTGGCTTAAATATTTATGCAGATATGAATATTTTATAAAAAACTAATTTTTTTTGTCTTATGTTTCCTTGCTATAACTTTAAAAATATTCGGTAAAATTAAAAAAAAATTTAGATCAATTCAAATTTAATTACAAAATTATTTTTTCAAAATGTGAAAAAAAATTTTAAAATACGTGCAAGATATGAGTATTTGAAATAGTTCTTTTGCTGTGCACATGCGCGGAAAAAATTTGAAATAATTTTTTCATAATTTCGTAGTGAATCGTACTTGAGAACTACTGGAAAAAATCTGATTTTAATATCTTAAAAATGCAAAATGTTTAATGCAATTTTCTGAGTAGTTTTTGTACTTTTTAAAAGAAAGCTCAAAATAATCAGGACTATTGCTTAAGCTCAATCAAGCTTATTGCTCGTTTTTCTGGCATAGGGTGTTTAAAAATACTTTTTTTCGTTGTAATTTATTGTCGATCCCGAAAACCTCAGAGGGCTTTAATCTTTATTATAACG